TTTTTTTTTTTAAATCAGCTCAGTTCTTATGTATCAGACTTAATTTGAAGTCCCAGTTAAGGGCACACCTATATGCATAAGTTAATATTGTGGGTTAATACCTGGCCATATATCTCCTCATTCAGATCACTAAGTTGTATTTTTAACATATTTTAACTTCATATTTCATTTGCTAGGTATTTGCTGTTCCAACAATTTGTCTCGGGCAATAAATTCTGCTGGAACAATTTGCCTATCAATACATATACACATATTTATCCAGAAAAATACTAGGACATTTATAATGGATTTGGGCTCAAGTCCCTGCTTTGAGGAATGTTCTTACAGATAGAAGCTCTCAGTGGAAGATCTTCCTCTGCTGGTTTCAAATTATTAAGTGGAACAAGTAAGAAATACCTTAATGCAGAGGTAAAGCTAATACATTTAAAATCACAGTTAATTTGCTCTGCAGCTTCAGCTTTGGAAAAAACCAATGCAATACCTTGATAAGCAATCCTAGAAACCTTATTTCCCTTTTATTTAATTTGCAGACCTAAGATGTTGAGAAATAATCTCCTTGCACAGGCATACAATATTCACTTTCTAACTTCATATTTTCTGAAAACCGAAGAAGAGTTTCCCAAAGGAATGCTCTAGGTCACACTGGATGATCTCTGTGTCACTCTACTATTGGTTAGGATATCCTTTCATAACTTGTTTACACGTGGGTCAGTAAACCACTTGTTACCCCTTGCACAGGTGCCTGAGAGTGACAGAATTCTGAGCTTTCAGCTTCCAAACAACCAGAGAAAAAAGCTTGGAGAATAGTGTTAAGGCAAATACCAGCAGCATTTTGCTGCCTATTAGCAAAAAGCTTAACTATTTCTGACATAAAAGAATGCCTGAAATCCCAGCATATCTTCTCTCATACAACTGGAGTAAATAAGCTCATCTATACCACATTTATCTGATTGACGTAGGAAAGCCTCCTAACGAGCTGCAGGGATGTACACAGAGCTGTTAATGGGCTGTTTTCACCACTGATGCTCTGTGAGATATAAAACTAAACTCACTTCTAGTTATAGATTACTTAAGGACCTAAATTGAGAAGTAGCACTGTTTTAATCTGGTGGCAAGAGTGATTGGAGGCTTTTTACAGGTTCAAATAAAACTAAGGTTAATATACCTGCAGGAAGCAGGTACAGTTCCTGTATCACATTTGTGAAATATTACATGAGCCCAGGTCCAAGTGCAAGCACACATTGAGGAGGATCCAAATAAAATGCTGAAGAGGGGGAGAAAAAGTCATAAAACCCTCTACGTTGTGTGGACTTCCAATTCCTAAAGGGAACCCACAAGAAAGATGGAGAAAGGCTATTTACAAGAGCACGACAGGATAAGGGGAATGGCTTCAAACTGAGAGTTTTAGATTAGATATTAGGAAAAAAATTCTTTACTGTGAGGGTGCTGAGGCACTGGCACAGGTTTCCCAGAGAAGCTGGATGTCCCATCCCTGGAAGTGTTCAAAGCCAGGCTAGATGGAACTTTGAGCAACCTGGTTTAGTAGAACCTGTCCCTGTACAGGGGGTTGGAACTAGATTATCTTTAAGGTTCCTTCCAATTCAAGCCATTCTATGATTCCAACAGGGGCACAACCTCCCCCATAGCTTTGGCTTTCTTTGCAACCTGTCCCTGTAAGCAATTCGAAGAAAATCTCAACTCAAGTGTCATTGTCAAAAGCATCATGTACACAAAGTGGAAAGAGCAATAATGCTAAAATATTTCATGAGACACACTAGAGAGAGAAAGTTATATGTAAAAAATAAGTTATAATCCTCAAAAAAGATGGATCATTGGAAAAAATGCCTACAAAAGACAGAAGTAAACAGAACATGGAGAAAGGCCATAAGTTTCTGAAATTTATGGAGCTCATTTTATGTCTTCCAAATGTAGTTTTAGGCTTCTTTCTGGAAAGACAAAACCCTGAACAAGTTTGCTAAAAGATTAAGTTCATATAAAATTTTCTGTGCTTTTACACTATAACCAGTATATTAAATGTATGTCATATACATCCTTATTCAGTGTCAAATTAAAAAGGATAGACAAATGCTGACCTAAATTTCAATTGAAAGAACATCAGAACTGTCCAAAGACCTTCCGTGTTTCTCCCATAAACACATACATACACACACTGAAATTTAATTGGTGACCAAAGAGCAGTATCACGTTTTAGATGCTGGAAAATTAATTGAGATTGTTGTGGAATCTGTTGAGGTATTTAAATTGTTATCAAGCTGTTGTCTTAAGTAGAAAAAAGTCTTCAATTTAAGCATTTACCGAGCACCTTGCATTTGCAGCAGAACAATGCTGGGACCAATGTGCCCTTTAAAATACCTCCTCTTTCACAGCAGGGCAACTGTGCAGCAGTTCAGTCAGTTGGACTGTTTGCACATTTTACCAAAGGACAACAACAACAAAAAATACATGTTCAAAGTTACTGAGATCAACCTCTCATCCAGCTGTTAAACAGAGAACGTTCAGTACAATTCCTACCCTTTGGAGCAGGACAAAATATCTTATTTTCCCCTGGCAGTAGCAGCTGATTGCTTTCCAGGTTGCTCCTGACACTTTAGCCAAGAGCAATAGGGGGTTAGACTAAGCCAGGAGTGTTGCCATCTAATGGCTTCCTGATTCACTCTCACAACACAAACACAGCCCTTACGCCTCCACATCGGGACTGTGCCACAGGAAGACAGGCTTGGGAAAAGTTTGTTTGCTTCTAAATGAGATGGAAAAAAAATAGCTTTGTGCCTGAACCACTACTGAGAGAAGTTTCTCTCAAAACAACATAAAAATAATATCATGAAGATATGTGGGTCTTCCATTATTCTCCTCCTGCTGGGTGCATTGGACTATAAGAAAGTGTCAAACAACAGTAGCTATTAGGATTGTTACTTGAAATCTGGAAGCCTGAGGACTTCAGCGATGCTCTCAAGACTGAGAAACCAACTCAAACACCTATGAATAAAGGCCTCTTCACTGCTGCAGACTGGACACTTGCAATACTCACAAGGTCACTTCCTTTAAGCCTTAAAGACAGGACAACATGGCAGATTTTATACTTAAAATATTAACTTTAATATTTTAAGTGAATTAGTTTTGAAACCTCCAATTTAAACTTAAAAAGTTTCAAAAATAAAGTAAGAAGCATCATTTTGCATCAATGGCACAAAGCATAGGAATCTCTGGCACAGAATTCCAGTGAGCTTGCAGAAAAATTAAGGCTCCCTTTCTCTGGGATCCTGGCAAACAAGGTTTACAATCTGAATACATACCAGTAGCTGATTTCACTGCTTTCCAACTAGAGCATTTGCCTGCCCTTTGCTTTCATCCCTTCCCACTACCACAGTTATCCCAGAGTTCAGTTGTGTAATACATAATACATCAAAATCAAAATGCTGATTTGTGCACAGCTGATACTGAACAAGATATTTTTTGCTCTATAACTCTTCCCAAAAGTTTCCCAAACTTTCACCTATCATGTCATCCACTGAACAACCTCAGTTGCCTTGGTACTTGGATACCGTTGCCTAGTTCTTCCTTTTTTCCTTGGATAATTTTCTCAGCTTTTCCCTGGTTTGCTCTTGTTTAATCTTTATCCTGACATCAGTGCTGCTGACATTTAAGATATTGGGAAAATATTTCCATAACTTTAGTTGAAGATAATATTATATTCTTGATGTAGACGTTTTCTATGCTTCCACAATAGCCCTGGACCAAATTCAACAGTAAAGTATCAACAATTAGAAAAATGCAAAATTCGAATACTTGAAGCACAGTTTTACACGTGCAGGATAATTAAAAGCTGTTTCTTTAGAAACAAGTGAAATATTACATATAGTCCTTTATGTATATTGCTCTAAGTAAAACAATAGGTATGTTTATGTGTGTATATATGTTTTCACTTTAGTACATTCTCTGAAATATTGTGAGAAGCAAAACAAAACAACTGGAATTGTTAACAGTTACACTTCAGCTAAATATTAAACTCCTGTTTGCACTCCAAATCCCTCAGGGTTAATATGAGCTCATAAACCCAACCACTAACAGACACGAGCCAATTTAATGAGACCAGAAATGGGGTCACACTCAGCCAGCACATTTTTAAGATCATTATATTATTTGTCAAAAAGAGAAAATAACAAAGAAAAATATTTACAAAGTTGAAACATTATCCTTATAGCTTTCTTAAATTTGCTCATTACAGGCTACTGAACAACTGATTGCACGATCCTCCCAACCATCCCCAAGCAACAGTGAACCTGATTAAGAGATACCAGGCAATTAAATAAGGAAGAAATTCCCAGGAAACATGAACTGAAGAGAAAAATACTGCATTTAATGCAGTATGGCAGTAGTATTTGTCCTAAACAGCTGAAAAGATAAGTCATAGTAAGACCATTAAAATATCTTTAATGAAGGAATTAATTTTTGAAAAATTAATTGTGGAAAAACACCTCATAAATACCAACGTACAGGTACTTATTCATCAGTCTCTGTTATGGCCATGGCTGTAAAGAAAGTTTAATGAACTCACTCACCACTGTGAAAATAATGATAAAATGTGAGATATGGAAGGAACAAGCTGGATTTTGTGAACAGAAACATACCTTTTGCATTTACTGGAAACAGCTGCTAGGTAATATTCAACATTTCCCACCTGCCCAGTTCAGGAGGATGCTGCACCCACAGCAGGCACTACAAGGCACAGGAGCTCAGCTTGTAACACAGTGCTGAATAAGAACCACTGAAATAGAAATATATGGAGGTGGGCCAGTAAGAACTTCCTTTGTGTTTCCCCAGCTGAGGTGGAACACAAAGACAAGGGAAGGTAAAGTGGTTTGCCTGAGGGAAGAAGATTAATCAGCATTACAACCAGGAAAGAATCAGGAGGAATGATATCTAGTTCTAAATCAAAGTTTCAACAAGCCATACTGCCCTTTTGAAGACAGAGACAACACCATCTTTTCTCAGAATAAGTCAATAACTAATTCAGTGAATTTGATTCCTTCAGCTTTAGGATCCCTTCATTAGTGTGATTGTTGTTTTCAAGTTTCATGAAGAGTTCTATTTCTGTTAAGGACAACTTGGTTCTTTTCCCTGTCTTAGCACAGTAAAGGGGAAAGTCCCTAGAATGCTTCAAAGCAGCTTGAATTTTGTACACAAAAGATATACTGGATATATAAATATATATAAATATATACTGAAAAAAGACAGGATTTAATCCTTAATTTCCTTCCAGGACTAACTAGAATAATTCCAGCTACATTACCAATGTGATAATAACAGCAATATGGCCTAACTGTTAAAAGGAGAGAAAATCATGGAACTTTTGTTTCCATGGCATGCTATTTGATTTCAGCATAGTCTATCTATTTTGGTAATAATTTACTTTTTAACTCCCTTAACAATTTTCTCTTTTAGCTCACAGGTGGTGTCCCATATGCTTTCCTGCCATAAAAAGAAAAAAAAAAAATTCATACCATTGTTTCCAATATTATGCCAGCAAGAATACTAAATTCAAATTACCTGACATATATAAAGTTGCATAGAAAGTCAAAGTGTCTCAGTAAAACAAGTAACTAATAATTTCATACTGTAAAAGGAAAAGCAAAGACACTGTCTTTACTATAATTTTCAAAATTCAGAAAGGCTTGGATAGTAAAGAAGTTTAAGATTAGACACTGCAGGCTCTGTGATTTTCTTGTGAAATGCGCTGTTCACAGATAATACTACTTAACCTTGTCATCCTGAAGACTCTAACTTGCAAATTCTCTGCATGACCAAATTATCAGAGCAGGACGGGACCAGACAATCATGGTAAATAGATTTTTTTTTGGTACTATATATATATATTTACATATTTATTTATTAATTTATTTATTATTTTAATTTTTATAATTTTTTTTTTTTCTGGGAGACATTTCTTTTGCATGTCTCTTCCCCACAGCAAATACACTGGGTTCAGTAGGTGTACACTTGCAGTTCAGGATTATTTAACACCAGGAAGCTCACAAAGACAATGCACAAGTCAAGACCGTGGTTTCTAGCAGTTACCAATGGCTGAAACATTATGACATAAAATCATGACATGACTGCACAGCAACTCAACCAAAACAGGGGTTAGAGTAGTGTTTTAGGAGTATTTTTTCAAAGGATGTATGGCAAATAAGCAAGATACCTATGTACTTCACTTAACACTGCACCAAAATTAAACAGATGCAGGTTCTGACTTCTGCCCCCCTCCTTTTCTTTGTTTTTCTTTTTGAGAGAGAGAGAATTTATGGGACACCACCTGTGAACTAAAAAGGAATAATTTACTGCTAAGGGAAATATAAAGTATAAACCATTATCATAATAAAAAATAGCAAAATAAAATTCTGAGTAAAGGTACTAACATTATTATGAATACAGTTACTTTACGTTTTTTAAAATTCCGTGAGCTTCTCATAGTACACTTAAAATATCCTAAACTTCTAAGAATCCCTCTACCTGGTTAAAAGGCTTCATAAAGCAGAAAAGTATCAAATTGCAATAAAAATATTTGGTAGAATAAAAGAAATCAGGACATTTGTGTCAATGCATCATTCACGTTTTTAGATTAACAAACAGGAAAGAAGGCTCCCATGTTCAAGGTAAAATGTTTAATTGAACACAGAAATAACCAGCAAGTCTGTCTTCTGAAAACAGAGCACTCCAACAGGAGTGGTGGCAGATGTTTAACCTGCTCAGCATCTGTCCTGAAATGTGCTACAGAAAAAATAAATGTGATAAAGATGAGAATTCAAGTAAACAAAGACCACAGACAACATCTGAATTGTTTGGAAATTGTTTGTTTCACTAGCATCAGTGAAAACAGAGAAGCACAATCCATGGAGTCAAAGCCATAAACCAGTGGCTACAAGAGCAAGATACAGGGTGTTAAATTGACAGGATTATTAACTTGATATATTATATAAAAACTTCATGCAACACTTGTGAAGATGCAGCCAGAAACTATCATCCATGCCTGGCAGATAAGGTAACCTGACATTCAGGCACAATTCTTTCACTGTGATTTCAAAGACATTAATTTGAGGGTTCATTAAAATTAATTTCTGAAGAGGACACCGAGGCCTGAACACAAGATGTTCACTGTGCAGACAGCAACTGCTCTTCCTCTAAGACACAAGAAGAGAATATAAAACCTCTATAAAACCTCACATTCCAAAAATACTCGTTCTCAAAAGAATAGGCAGAGTTTCTTCCATAATAAAGGCTACACCAGCACTACCTTGAGCTCTTTACATTGCTTGTGTGCCACACTATGAAACATTACTGATCCTTATGAGGGATTCAGAATAAACTCTTAATTGTCTTAAAGGATGAAAGATGGTCCCTGATCTTTTAAAAGTATTTTCCAAGTAGCAGCAAGCCACAAATATGAAATACCGAGTTTAATGAAGGAAAGGTCTAGTGAGACCAGTCAGACAGATTGTTTAAATTCATCAATTTGTTCACATTTTAAAGCCACCATAACTTCACAATTACTATAGTGGACAAACTCAAATCTCCTTCAGGTTAAAAGTCAAAATTCTCTTGTGACTTCTACAGTTCAACATACAATATTTTACAGCATAGCTCTGGGAAGTAGTATAACATATTTCTACAGCACATCATACAACTAAATATAGAGATGTAATGATAAAACTATCGGAAGGAAAAGGTTAGGAAATATCTTGCATTCTGGCAGACTTACAGACCCCAAAAATGCCTGAAGTAAAAGTGAAATGCAATTATTTTTGCTGCTTGCTTGCTAAACTGCTGACCTCCTTTTTAACATCCTGAATAGAGGAACAGAGATATTTTACCCATGGATTCAAAGGAAAAAAAAAAAAATCTGTTGAGCTCATATTCCTCATGAATGCCTCCAAATGATGGCAAATCAATAGTTGCTGCTTTACTAACATCACCCTTGGACTCAGTCAGCTAGCATGCCTGAAAATCCTTCCCAGAAGAACCATACAGATTCACAAATCTGTTTTACAACCACCATCAAAACTCCATACAAACAACTCAGCTTTCAGTTTGGTTACAGGTATGATATAAATCACTAAAGTCAAAAATACTTCATAGTATGGTGAGCTCCATTTCTGAAGCTATAAAATTATTTGCTGAATTGTTGTAGGGTAAACTGAGTGAAAGGAAAAGAATACAAGGTCATTAAATGAGGTATCATTAGTGCCTTGAGCTATGCAATAACTGATTTTATTTCTTGTCAACAGAAGGTAATTTTATTGCATTATTGGCAAAGCACCCTCCTTTCTTCTGTCATAATCTATTCCTACAACCTGTTGCAAAAGGAAGTTTTTCAAAACACATTTTCAATTTCTCAGAAAGCATCCAATTCACAAATGGTTTTTAAAAACTCAAAGCAGCAATTCATAGAGCCAAGTAAGAACACTCAACTTGGAACTCTGAAAATTTTCTGCTCTAGCTTTTATATTGCAAATAAAGTAATTTAAATTACAAATTTTATATTACAAATAACTTGCTTTTTTGTTTCTTTCAAGAGGCCACAACAACAAAGTTCCTGGCGCAATCCAAATAAATCTGATCATAGGGAATGTAGGATTCTAATTAACAGGGCAAGATCTATGCACAGCAAGTAGCTTGCAAAACACAAAAATCAGAAATACAATTGTTTTTTTCTGCTTTTTGTGAAGTTCTTGTTAGACAGGAAGTTCAGTTTGCAGACACAGGTGGGAAAAGCCAGAAATACAGAACAAACCCTTAGTTATCAGTAGCAAACACTGTAGGAAAGTGAAACAGAAAGAATTCAGCACTTACAGAAGAGGTTCCTGTTCAGACAGTGATTATAGCACTTCTACTTAAACATGATTTCATGATTAATTATAACTGGAGCACAGTCTTATAACTGAAGACTAAAAGAAGTGCTATTTAAACAAAAAAAAGAAAAAGCAGGGAAAATCTTGTGAGAACAAACACTGAGAGATGTGGCAACAAACTACAGAAGCCACTTAGATCGGAAATAAGGTAAGAAGAACTGAGGTGGTTTAAAAAAAAGAATAGACCAGAATGAAAAAGGAGAACAACCTTTATTCATGTTTATTCATGGAATGCACATCTCTAGAAATCCTTCACTTGGGGATTGACATCTAAGAAAACAGGTAGATAATGAAACAGCAAACATTTCAATGAACTGCCATGCAACCAAACAACTCACTGCCCAAAATTCAGGGCCAGAAAAACAACAGCATCAAAAACAACATATTCCACACATAAAGGATGCAAGGGGAAAGACATCATTGGAAAGCTCAAAAAAAAAAAATAAAAAATCAGATACCATTTTAGTCAGAATTCACTTTCTATGTCAGGATGACAAAACGTCACTGCCTTTGATTTGGAACACTAAATCATATCT